AAAAAAATTTAGTGGATGTGAAGCAACCACTAAATTATTAAGGAATGAGCCTTAAACACTTTGTGTACGGTTATCCAATGACAATGCAACACGTGTTTAGTTTCATTGAACTTTCGCTTCTGCTAACTGTTTGACCAAACTTGAGGAGAATTTTTTTTTGAGAAAATGGGATCTGGTGATGTTATCTTCATTATTACTACTGTTGAAGCCATCGATACATAGTGTTTTTCCCGGCATCAACTGTTCCCGGCAATGATGACGGTGAAGTAGAGAGCTTCGGGGTTAAAAGCAAGAGGTTGGTTGAAGTTGAGATCTGCCATTTTTAAAGATGGAGTGACAGTGAAGAGTCCACACTTGCCAAAGTTGAAGGTATCAACTTTACGATTAAGTTGACCCATTATGGATAATTTAAATAGTTCATCTCTGTATAATTGACAATACATTCTCTTCTCTAATCCTTCTTTCATCTACCCTAACACTTGTAAGTTTAGAGTTATTAAAATTGAAGATCTCAATTTTACAAATAAAATTAGTGAATTGTGAGATTAATTTATACTTATGTTAATGACTTAAACCATTAATTTTATATGATAGGTTGAAAAGAACATAAAAGACAACGCTTTAAATAATACCTATAATAATGTGTGTTTATGCATTGTTTTAAAAAATTAAAGCATAAATACAAAAAATTAAGCCTCCGTTTGGGAAGTGGGTTGGCTTTTTAGTTTTTTGACTTTTTTAGCCTCGGCTATTTTAGCCTGGTTTGGGAAGGGCTTTTTGGCTTTTTTTGTGAGAGAGGTTTGTAATGATTATGGGTTGGATTTGATGTTTTGTTTTTTGTGGTTAAAATAGCCTATTTTGTTTTTTGTGACTATTTTAGCCAAAAAAGTCTGACTTTTTTCTTCCCAAACGAAGCCTAAATTGATGATATATGAGCAATCACATGATCAAATCAAATACTATATATTATAACATATAAAAGGCCTATTCTTAAAAACATGAAAACCTTATACATAAAAATGATATAATAATATGATAATAGATGGTAGATCAATTTGATTTTTTGTATTAATAATTTTATCAAGCGAGATTTAGTCAGAATTCATAATAAAACTTTAATACATTAAGAACAAGTATAAAAAAAATTTCTTGAAAAGTCTAACACATACCACTATTATCAAAATATTAAACTTTAAAATAATATAAATTTTGATTTAAATATCGGTTTTTAATAAAAATTAGTATTTTATAATTGTTTTATCAAGATCTATCAAATAAGATCTATGTTGACTATGAAGTTCTTTATAAAAAAAATTATTACCATTGAAATTGATGTAAACAGTAATATGTTACTCTATTTAACAGTAACATGTTATTCTAATAATATTATTGAAGAAAAAAAAATATTTTGTTATATACTTACTTAATTATGCACACTATTTTTAAAAAATTTATGAAACAAAATAAATTAAGTTGTGATTTTCACTTAACAAGAATCTTGGCTAAATTTTCCTTTTATAAACAGTGCAGATAGGAATGAAAAAAATGAGTCAACATCCCCCCTTAACTTTTTTCCTTGACTTCCTATGTGTGAGGTTATTGGGTCCACTTTTAGGCCCAATTTCTATAATCCGAACCGTTTATATTTTAAGAATTGTTGATTATATCATACTTATAAAAAATCAAATTGATCAGATATCAGAAAGTATGTGTTCGGATCATCGAATTAAAATCTATTTTTTTAAAAATTTAATAAACAGTTTTTCGAACACATACTTTTTGATATCCGATCAACTTGATTTTTTACAAGTATAATATACTTAACAAATCTTAAAATGTGACGGTTCGGATCATTAAAATTAGGTCTAAAAGTGGGTTCAATTACCCAACAAGTAGGAAGTTAAGGAGGATAGGTAAAGAGGTGATCTTGATTAGAAAAGAGGACCCACCTTGGCTGAGTTGTCATCCATTAATTGGCTCCAGAGATTACGGGGAAGCCGTACAAAACTCAGCCTCCCGCGTCCGGATCCTCTAGAGTTAGTCTCTAGAGTGATCTCCTGAAGTGGATGATCGAACGGCTGTGCATCAGCCTCACCAAAACGACGTCGTTTTGGTGAGGCTGATGCACAGCCGTTCGATCATCCACTTCAGGAGATCACTCTAGAGACTAACTCTAGAGGATCCGGACGCGGGAGGCTGAGTTTTGTACGGCTTCCCCGTAATCTCTGGAGCCAATTAATGGATGACAACTCAGCCAAGGTGCGGGAAGAAGCAGAGCCGTGAAAGGAGAGAGGGAAGAAGACTGAGAGAGGCTGCTCCGTTGTGCATCCCGTCGCCCCACCGTCGCAGTCGCCACTGTCCTGCCGTAAGGTTCGGTCTCTCATCTCATTCCCTATTCCTCTCTCTCTCTGCCGTAAGCTTCGGTCTCTCATTTCATTCCCTATCCCGTCGCCCCATCTTGCTAAGAAGTTAGGGTTTTCTATTTCATGTATTGCTTAAATCATTGATTTGCACCCTTTATATACATATATATGTGTAGATATATATGTATTTCAGTCTTATTTCAGTTTTGCTTGTAGATTTTACACTCAATAATCTCTCGGAAATTGGTATATGAGTTTGTTCATTGATTTGCACCCTTTATTTCTGTTTGGTTACCTGGAAAACGAAAAAAAAGAAGGGAAACACCAGCATTGTTGTCTTACTCACTCAGTTGGAATGTTCACACACCAACTGTTTGATAATTTGCTCCTTCGAACTGTGCACACATCACGCCCAATCGTACCTTACTTTCACTATTTGTTCTAGCCCATTAGCTGTTAAATGAACTATTCTGTTCCCATCTCATTTGTTCTACTACTTCATAGAATGTTCCCATCTTTAGAGCAACTACTGCTACAATCTCAAATTCATTATCATTTAATAGTGAATCGAATAGAAGCAGGGGAAGGCTGATTAAGGAGGCTAAAGCAACTGTCCAGATGGGGAAATCGCTTAGAATAGATTTTGGTGGAAATGAGGCTAACGTGGTAGAGAAGATAATCCAGCTAGAATGTAGTAATTTGGAGAGGATTGCTGCAGGCGCGCGGGTAGCTGAAGTCTGAACTACCAATGGAGGAGTATGGGTGTTATACAGATCTGTTTATGAAGATAATGACATGGTATGCTGGTGTATCTTTGAGTGTTCTGTGGTGAATGTCTATGCTCCAACTGATGTTAGCAAGAGAAGGCAGCTTTGGGAAGTATTAAGGAGATTGAACTTTCCTTTCCTAATCCATGGTGCATGGGTGGAGATTTCAAGAAAATTAGATTTCTAAGTGAAATGAAGGGATGCTGAAGAAGGGAGAGAGGCATGAATGACTTCAATGATATGATTGATCAACTGAGCCTAGTTGATTTGCCAATGAGGGGTAGAAGCTTTACCTAGTGTAATGCACAATAGACAGATTCCTATTGGATAGTAGCTGGGTCGAGGAGTTTTCTTTCAAACAATGGGGATTTCCTAGATCAATTTTTGACCACTTTCCAATCCTATTAATTGAGGTGATAAGAACAAACATTACTATGTTGAAGTAAATTGAGGATATGATTGTGAAACAACCAAATGGAGGAAATAGATCTACGTACCCAACCCTACGTAATTGGATGAGACAAACGCTGATTGAGTTCAATTCTGTTTATTAGAGATATGTATATGCCAGTGGTTGTATAGCTTATAGGATTCAGGATTTTGGGTGTGCACATGTTTCGCCCCATTTTTGGTGTTCCGTTTATAATACAGTAGTTATTAAAAACACATTGATCCTTTAAGCCATCTATTGCTCAAGGATGAGCAAGAAAATTCCTCAATGCTCTTTCTTTTGTATTATTGTAACCAGATTTCATGGGCAGAACATACAGGAATCATAATGGTTTGTAAAACTGTAATTAAGAGAAAGGAGAACAATATACTCCTGCCACCAATATTTTGAAGAATAACCTAATATGAAGTTGATTAAGCAATCTGCAAGCTAAAAAAGTATTCAACTTTCATCCATAATTTGTTTGAAGAATAAGCAAATAAGTGTAACAAATGTGATTTGCTTTTATGTTAATGACATGTTTATGCAATACTGGAAATAAACATTATGATTATACAGACCGCATGTAAGAAATATTGGTTCTAGACATCCAGAAGCTGAAGATACTAACATATCCATCCAGTAACAGATCATAAAGATATAAAAAGAGTTTCAATTAGACTGCCTTGGAACTATTGGTCAGAGTGGTACTTCGAAATTCTTGAAGGCTCTTAAGGTACTTGTTTCTCTTCACGTTGTCTATTTCGAATTATCAGTTGCTGACTGAACCTCAATATTTTCATTGCTGTTGAAACTAATTGTGTGACTGTTTGTGTAGGAAAATAAGGATCTTGGAGCTGACAATGGTTTAATTGGTCAATTTGGTGTTGGGTTCTATTCAGCATTTTTGGTTGCTGAAAAGGTGCACTCACAGCTTTCATTTAATTGATATTCTGAATCTTCTGATTCAGGTTTTTGAAGTAGGGGATTTGCTTTCTCAAATCTTGTCTGAGATGCAATTGGAGTTTGATTTTTATCTTCTTTTTTGATCAGGTGGTGGTCTCTACAAAGAGTCCAAGGTCAGACAAGCAATATGTCTGGGAGGCTGTAGCTGACAGTAGCTCGTATGTGATTAGGGAAGAAACTGATCCTGAAAAGCTCCTTCCCCGTGGAACTCAAATTACACTTTATTTAAGGGTACTTTAGCTCTTCCTTGGTTTGCATGTCAGGGGTGTCTGTTTAAATGTGGACAAATTATTAAATAGTTATGAAAATGTTGGATGTGGTTGTTGCAAATATCATTGAGACAACCCCTATGCTATATTGTTGAGGTGCATTAATGCTATGGGATGGAATGGGATGGAATGGTCTGGAACAGTTTCAAGAAAATCTGTAGAATTATACTGTGATAACTTGACTTTCCTAACACACTTGTTAATAACTTGTATTTTATGCAGAAAAAAAAATGGCTTCATCTTCTATTGATAATACGAACTTAAGATTAAAGCAAAGGTTTTGTAATTGTGGAAGAATAGCTTCCATGCGTATTGTACGAACCAATGCGAATGGAAATAAAGGACGTGTCTATTTTGTTTGCCCAAGAAAATATGTAAGTACCTGTTATATAAATGAATCTGTTACTTTTTACAAATTTCATTTGTCCTTCATTGATTAATTGATTCTTGTCCATTGTAGGATTCGAACGACCACTGCAATTACTTCAGGTGGTTCGCAGATGATGACGAGGACGACATTACCTCATCAATCCGTGGCAATGCTGACGACGACGACATTACTTCAAGGCTTGGTGAGCATGATAGAAGGCTTCAAAGGATTGAGAACATCTTGAAGGCAGTGACTTATGTCATTGTATTTTGTGTATTTTTTTACTTTTTCATGTAAATGACTCAGTTCTTAGGTTTTCGAACATCTTATGAATGTAATCTACTTTTGTACTTGTTTTGTAATTTTTTTTGGTGCTCCAAATTCTGAAGGTTTGCAAAAACAAGTGTGTAACAGGTTTATTTGAGATGAAATGTTGAATGAACAGTTTCTTAAATCTATTGAATTATGTTGGTTGCTTAACAATGTGTATTATATGTGATGGTTTGGAAATGTTGAATGTTATATAACAGGTTTCTGAAATGTTGAATAATGTTGAATGTTGAACTGATGAAAATGTTGAATGTTGTATAACAGGTTTCTGAAATCTATTGAAAATGTTGAAATGTTGAAATATTGAATATTGTATAACAGGTTGCTGTATTATATGAAATGTTGAATGTTGTATAACATGTTTCTAAAATCTGCAACAGTTTAAAAATCTGCAACAATAAATTGTTCAATGTTATATGAAATGTTCAATGTTGTATAACAGGTTTCCCAAAGCAGAATTTTAAATCTTTCGAATTATAAAACCTTATTCTAAGTCTTGCCTAGCATCATCCACACAGAATGAAATCTGCAAACAGAATTGATGCAAAAATTCCGTCAAGTATTTAAGCAAAAATTTGTATTGCCTTGCATCATCCAGACAGAATTTAAGCAAGAATTTAAGCATTACAAAAGCAGAATTTTAATCCATCAAAGCTGCAAACAGAGAAACTACAACTCTAACTCTATTTCACCAAAAAAATCTGCAATAGTTTCATCAACATTTCAGCAACATTTCATCAACTCTATTTCAGCAACATTTGAGCATTATTGAAGCAAAAAATCTGCAACATTTGAACTCTATTTCAGCAATTTTTCAGCAACAAATTCAGCAACATTTTAACTCCATTACAGCAACATTTCAGCAAAAATTCAGCAACATTTTAACTCCATAACAGCAACATTTCAGCAACAATTTCACCAACATTTCATCAACTCTATTTCAGCAACATTTGAGCATTATTCAAGCAAAAAAATTGCAACAGTTTAACTGAAATGTTGCTGAATTCAGGAACCTTTAAACTCCATTACAGAAACATTTCAGCAATATTCAGGAACATTTAATTCAGGAACATTTAAACTCCATTACAGGAACATTTCAGCAATATTTGAACTCTATTTCAGCAATTTTTCAGCAACAAATTCAGGAACATTTAAACTCCACTACAGCAACATTTCAGCAACAGTTTCATGAAAGGTTTTCAATATGACATATCCAACAAAAAATTCACAAAGATTCCCAAAACAAAAGAACGCTAAGATGTTGACGTGTGATCCATATGCCCATGCCCATGCCCACGCCCACGCCCACGACCACGACCACGAGCATATAGTACCTACAAAAAAAAAATAATAATATTACATCAAAGGAACCATAAAATAAATTGTAACTTTAAATGAATGAAAGACAAAATAAAAGAGGAAAGGTGAAAAATAAATTACTTCACTACATGCGGGACTATTTGAGGCTTGCGAGTGATAACTACTTGCATTGTTAAGCAATGCTTGATAGGTTCCATGGACGGAATACATCGATGGCATTGAAAAATGCATATTGTGATGAAGAAAACTTGGCTGCAACAATAGCAAACACATATCAATCTAAAATGATAATAGTCAGCTACAAATTCGTACTAAAACTTTTTATTAAACTAACTTACATCATAGGCGGAATACATAAATTGAGACGAAGAAGCTCTAACTTGAGGAACACTCGGCGAGAATGGAGGAAGTTGAGGAGCACTTGAAAATAAAGGAGCCGACTGATGAAATAAGGGAGGTGCTTCAGGAGCACTTGCCGAAAATAAGGGAGGAGTTTGAGGAGTAACAGACATGGAAGTTTGAGAAGCATTATATGAACTTGTTTTATTTTTCTTTGCCAACGCAAGCTCCAAACCACCTTTTATCCGCCTTCGTCCCTTGCTAGTGCACTCTCTTCTCTTGAGTCCTTTTGCTTGAACTACATTGTTATCCGCTACACCATCCACTTCAAAGCTTTCGGGGGGGCTTTCTTGAATAGTATCTGAACAAGGCATATTGAATTTTGCGCTTAACATGGTTTCAATGTCTGCAAATTTCAATGTCTGCAATTAATTCATCCACTTTCTCGACCGTCAAATTATATGTTTCCTCACTTTCAGAAACTATACACGCTACTGATCTGAATATTGCCATCAATGACCTATAGCGTGAAGTTTGATGCAATCTTACATCAACCTGAATATCATGCCCACACCTATCTTTCACATTTTCAGATCTTGCTTTTTTAGTCCATCTCTTCAGAATATACTGTGAAGGAATCTCTTTCAATTTGAGTCTTTCTCTAAGGATCTTCAAACAATGACTACACAAAATGCCCTTCATTTCAAACTTCCTACAACTGCAAGTGACTAAATCATCACACTCCTGTCTCACCTTCCTCACCTTTATACCATCACTATCAAGAACCGTATAAACGGTACTCTCACCATCATTTTCAATTTTTTCAATGTTGACTTCAAGGGACTTGACATTACTCATCCTGAAATTCCTTCCAAAAATTTTATTTGTGTAAACATCTTGCAAGCTTGTCCATAATCTTTCACTTAAATATTCACCCTTGGCAACGTTTTGGCATAGAGCATATTCGGCTTGTAACTCTTGTACCTCTTTCTCAGGACAGAACTCGATCAAAATGCAGTGAAAATTGCATTAAAGTTATGATCAGACTGAAATGAATACCTTCAAGAAAGCATTAAAGGATTCAACTAAGTTGGGTGTCTACTTCATGCCGCACCCCATGCATTCTCTAACATATGGCCAACCCCACTATTTCCTTCACCCAATGTTAACTTCAACCAATTGATTATCTCTTACTTTCATACTTGTCAAGCATTTCCTCCCATTTTAACGTAAACTCTTCCTCATCCCTCAATGTCGTACATAAACGTGGATAAAACACTCTTGATCCCCTTATCCTTCACCTGCCGGCCTATTATCCCTTTGAAGATAGAATTTGCATGCCTTAAATGCATTTTGCATCAAATATGCCAAGTGCAAAGGCGGTGGGTTGTGGTAGGCATGTGACAATATGTATGGCCTTAGCCATGCCTCAGCTAATTCCTGACCGTTAAAAAAGTTGTTTCGGAGCCTTACTTGACATTGCCTCCAAAGATCTTCTAAAAAGCCATACAAAAGAATCGGCGGTCTCATCATACATCAAAGCTGCACCAAATATCACAGTTTCCCTATGATGGTTAAATCCAACGAAAGACGCAAATGGTCTATGTGCACTATTTAACTTGTAAGTAGTGTCGAAAGTCACAACATCACCAAATTGCCCATAATCCATGATCATCTGAGCATCGGCCCAAAATATGTTTGTAATCTGCTCCTCGTTATCTAATTGGACCGAGTAAAAAAAAGATGGATTCTCTAATGATTTGTCACGAAAATATTGCAAAATGCTACCTGCCTCCCCATATGCTAAACTGTTTTGCCTCTTCGTTCTCAAATAATTTTTTTGGTCCAGTTTTGTGAACCCAAGTGACTCCCTTCCACCAACTTCATTACCCATGAGCTCAAATGCAGCATTAAGCTGGATTCCAGATTTTTTGGCTAAATCTATTTCGGTTGCCTGTGATGCAGATATCTTCCTTTGGGATGGTAACATATGCGTACATTCTGTTGGTACAAAGATATGATTATGTTGTTCAACAAAATCACTAACAAAGAATTTCTGTATATTCCTATCCCACTTAATAACAAGTCGGGCTTGACAACCGGTCCTCACTTCCTGCCTAGGATTTTTTGTTAATGGATCTCGCTTGTCGACAACCCGAAATCCCTCCTTATTACAAACAAATTGCCTTGAAGTGATTTGCCCCTCTTTGCTCTTGTTTACATAACCCCTTCTAATACTGAAGCCCAACCTTCCTCCATACCTATTATAGAAATCATATACTTCTTGTTCTGTATCAAATGTCATGCGAACTCTAGGCTTCCAATCACACTCACCCCCATCATTCTCATGATTGTTAGGTTCCATATCAATGTGGCAAGTCACTTAAAAAATAAAGAAGTGCTCAATATTAGCACAAAAACTGTACATTATGTTTGCAAAATAATACAAACTGAATAAGATAATCAACGAAAAACAAACTGAATAATACAAACTAAATTATGGTCTTTGTTATGTACCACAGTGTGGTTTTAAGATGTGCACTACAGCAGGTATTCAGAAGATAAAAATATAAATGAGTCCTCTGAAGCATTCATGCACTATATGTTGCTTAATATACATGACCATCCAGCATTTGCACTCTTAGGTAATATGTTGTCAATTTTAATTTGTGACCTTGTGTTCTTATGACTGTACAATAATACAAAGCCCTGGGTTACTTGCTTTGCAGCATTGATCAGTCTAATTTTGTGTTTTGCATGATTGAGGAATTAATATCAAATCCCTAAGGATTGCTAAAATTTAATTCATGAATGCCGTTTTAGTAAGCCAAGTTTTAAAGGATATTAAGCAACAAGGGGGCTTTGATTGGATTGTGGAACTTTAATTAGTTGCATGAGAATACTATAAGAAGCTGGATTTGGAAGTTTTTAATCTCCACTGTTCTAAATCTATATATATATATATATATATCTAAACTATTGTTCTAAATAATCAACACAGATATTGCTTCGTCTGTCAACAAGTAAGAATCCAGCTTCAAGTATAGGATCAGGTCCTGTTTTGGTCCACCTAACCCAGAACTCAACATTGGCATATATCTTCATAGTTCAAACCCCCTACCACTTGAGGCTCCATTTCGATACATGGATTTGAAATGAATGGATTTAATGGATTTAATCCAGGGATTAAACAATATTCAGCACAACACAGATATTGCAAAAAAAATTTATGTTCTCAACCATAGGCCTATCATCTGGGATTGATTTCGAGGAGACCAAAAAAAAAAAAATTGAACTTAAAACATATATTTAAACATTCTAAATACCTATATTTTCTTCACTCGGTTGGAACAGGGGCGACGGCCACGGCGGTGGCAGGACAGTGGCAACGGCACGACGGCGGTGACAGCGGGGCGACTGCGACGGTGGGGCAACGGGATGCACGAAGTAGCAGCCTCTCTCAGTCTTCTTCCCTCTCTCCTTCTTTCACGGCTCTGCTTCTTCCCGCCATCTGTGTTCGCGTTCTTCAGCCTGGGAGGGAATTTTGAAATCGAAAATGCATTTTTTTTTTTTTTTTGGAAAATCCTCACCAAAACGACGTCGTTTTGGTGAGGCCTAAGCACAGCCGTCCGATCATCCACTTCAGGAGATCACTCTAGAGAATAACTCTAGAGGATCCGGACGCGGTCCCCCTAGTAATTGAGGAGTTCAATAATCCATACCCAATGATGCCTCACTTCCCATTAGATATCACCCACACCACATTGTTTACTTCTTTAGATTCATTTCTTGATTTTATTTTATTTTTTTTAAAATTGAAAATTAGTGTGTTTGGTTTTAATTTTTTGAAAATTAAATTTTTTATTTTTCATTTTTTTTGTTTTTAGGAAATATTTTTAAAATTTTAAACAATTTTTTTACTTTTTTAAATACATTTGACTTAGATGCATCTAAAAAGTAAAATATTTGAAGAAAAATATTTTAAAAAATTAATAAATACACAAAAATACAAAAAATGAATTGAATTCTCTTTTTTTTTTTTTTTGTTGATATCTTTTTTATTTATATTGTTGATATCTGGTGAATTTTTTAAAGATTGTTTCACAAATTTTATACTTTTCAAGTATATTTATGTTAGACATATCTAAAAATTTTAAGAATTGCTTAAAATATTTAAAAAATTTAATAAAAAAAAAATACGAAAAACAAAAAAAAAATCAATTTTCTAAAAAATAAATCCTAAAAATTCAAACAAAACAAGCTGAGTCCATTATTTTTCTTTCTTATTCTCTCTTTTATTTTATTTTTTTAAACTGAAAAAGTACTTTAAATCGACCCTCCAAATCTAGAAAGAAATTAACATTGGAATTGGCCACCAATATAATTGAGGGCTGGGCTTCCATGCAATTCAATTGGAATCTATTATGAATCTTGTTTCGATAATTAAAATAGTTAATTTTGTAGGATTATATTATTCATAAAAAAAATTAGATTAACTTGATAATCATAGCTTATTCAATTTATTACATTTTTTTTTAGAAAAAAAAATAGACGACAAATGTATTTTTAAAAATAGACCATCTTTTTTTTTTTATTATTTATAACAAAGACAATAAATAGAAAAAATTATAAATACTGATTGACCTAATAAATGATATATACAAATAAATTCTATAAAATAAATTATTCAAATTATCAAAACATAGCACGAAGTGAACTCTATGGACTTAAACAATACTCTCCCATTGAAACTTTAGATTGGAGGCAATCCAAATCCATAATTTAATTGTTAAGTGACACCTCAACTGGTCAACAGGTGGGATTGAGATTTTCCGGGAAAAACTTAAAAATGGCAGGAAAGTCAAGGGGCAGATAGTTTAATCCTTTCCCCCTAAGCAAAGAGAAAATGGCCGGTGGTGGGGGCCAATTGAATAGCAATTTGGGATCTGGGTCTGGGTCCAATTGTCGGCAAGGGGAAGGGTATATCCCCCACATACTACCTACCAACAGTTCAGCCCCGGCCCACATACTTATCACAATCTTCTATATATTACTACTTTACTTTTTTTTATTGATTAATTTTATTAAAACAAAGTAGACTTGATTGAGAATAGTTTTATAAGATTTGATCTAAATAATTCGAACACAATCTCAACCAAATTTTAAACCTATTTTTTTTCTAGAAATAAAAACAATGAAAATTTTAAAAACATCTATCATTTTTATATTATTTATATTTTGTTACGAAAACAATTTCAAAATTTTAAAATAAACTTTTAGGTGTTTTCTATATAGTAAGTTGTTAAAAAAAAAAATTATCCATGACAGCTCTGTTTAACAAATTTTTATATTTTTTGAAAAACTAAAAATAAAAAATGAAAATATAACAGCAAAACATTTTCTGTGATTCTAAAAAAAAAAAACCCACATGAGCCTGCACTTTCCATTTACATATAAAAATCTATATAAAATCAATTTCAATTATAATAACCAACTTTATATAGACTCTATTTGAGAAATAATTATTTTTTTATATATCTTTCATCGTGTATTTAGTTTTTTTTTTCATTATCGGATTTCTTTATATAATTGATAAATGATGATATTTGAAAAAAAATTATCTCGATATACAAATAAATAAATAAATAGGAAAAAATGTGCTTAATTATGTGTATCACACGGATCAAATTAGTTTTTTATTTTTATTTTTATCTATCTTATTGATATCTTAATATCAATTTATATTTAATTTTTTATTTAATATGAAATTATTTATTACAAAACATTTATATTTAATTGAAATTTTATATATCTATATACAATATGTATGAATAATTCAAAAAAAATATGAAAGAAAAAAAAAATAATACTCTACATATTTAATTTATGTATTTTCTTCTTAATCCAATCACAACATATTTATATTTAATATTTTAAATAAATTTTGTGTAATTCTATTTTTACATATTTTTATTTTCTAAATAAATATAAAAATAAAAATAAAACTAAATAATTAGAATCACTTACTAATTCTTTTTCTAATTTAATTACTATTTTTAATATCAAAATAAGTGATTATTTTACTAATTTATAATTTAATATATATCATATACAATCATTATATGATAATTACACTTTTATATCACAATAGAACTAAAATTATCAAAATAAAAAATAATAATTTAACTAAGTTTATTATATATAAGTATTCAAGTAACACTTTTATAAAATGATAAGGCTAAGATTATTAAAATAAATAATTTAAATTTAAATTCTATTTTAAATTAAAATTAATATTATTCTTTTGTAACATATATGATAGTATAAAATATCATTACATTAATTAAAATTAACTCTATTGTGATTTTATGTTAGATATTATATTTCAAGAAGTAATTTACATACACGTATAGTGTCCAATTTGATATTGATTGATTAAAACAATAGAACTCAATATTTTTTTTTGGTTAAGTTTTTAGAAGATAAATTAGCAATGTCAAATGATAAATAGTGTGGAGTACTATTAAAGAATAATGATTCATTGAAAATTATTGTATATATTTAAAGCACCTATTGATGTTTCTTAAATAATTTTTAAATAAAAAATTGAATTTATAGTATTACTAATAATGCACCTTCATGAGCTCTGCCAGAAAAGATATGTAAAAATAATTTGGCTAGAATAAAAATTTTGCGATTATTATGATGTGTCACATAATTAATCGGAACCCCTTTGAGAACTTAAATTATTAAGATTATAGATATTTTGTGTCTGATTCCTTTTGAGGACACTGTTTATGATTTGAATTTATAATTTTTTATGCATCAATTTAAATAACTTTTACGATCTTACTGATATAAACATAAATACTATTTTGAGTCAACCTACCTTAAGCACTTATTCGTGCAATAAAATGCTTAAATATTTTCATATAAAAATATTATAATAGATTATAATCAAACACCACTTAAAGTATAATTAAAGACCTGATGCACCACTTTAGGCATAACCAAAAAATAAGAAACTGGCAAAGACTTTTTTTAATAATGACCAAAATAATACACCATGAGTTACAACCAAGTCATTATTTGTATATTATAGAATTTTTTATTATTTTAATTTTTTTTTTTAGAAAAAATATTTTGATATAGGTGGAATTCATGATTTTTGATAGATTTGATTAACACATAAAAATTTGATTTTAGGTTGAGAGTACAACTTTTTTTTTAAAAATTTTGAAAGGAATTATTTTTTATAAGCCTATTTTACATAGGATTATACAGTGACAACAATTTTTATTAGTCATTAACAAATTTATTTGTATTTAACTTTCAATTATTAAAATTTTGTATACATAAAGTATTAAAATTTAAAATTTATTTGCTATTTTAAAAATAAATTTTTATGTACCTCATAGTAATTTAAAAAAATAAAAAATAAAAAATAAAAAAATAAAATAAAATAAAAAAATTAGCAAAAGAGGAAGAGAAGATCAGTATGGTTTGTGACCCATAAAAAAAGGATCTAAGCAATTTATTTATTTATTTATTTTTTTAAGACATACAGGAATGTCCTGTTTGATAAAACTAAAAATTGAAAACTGAAAATCAAGTATTGAAAACTAATATTGAATTTTTTAAGTTGAAAAGTTATTTGATAAAAATTTAAATGCTAAATTAAAAATAAGTTATTTGATATGTATAAAATCAAATTTAAAATTTATTATTTTTAAATTATATATTTTAATTTTTATATTGTGATGTTGGCGATGGCAGTGGTGGCAGTGGCATAGTGGTGGTGGTAACAGTACTGGTAGTGGCATAGTGATAGTGGTGGTAGTGATGATAATGTTAGTAAATGATGGTGCTATTTATGACAATAATGACAATGGTGATGAAGGTGATGGTAGTAGTGGCGGCGACATGGTAGCAGTATTGGTAGTGGCATAGTGGTAATGGTGGTAGTGATGATGATAATAGTAAATGATGGTACTGTTTATGACAATAATGACAATGGTGATGAAGGTGATGGTAGTAGTGATGGTAATAGCGGTAGTTGTGGTGGTGGTAGTCGCCGTAGTAATGGTGGTGGCGGTGGCAGTGGCGGTGGCATGAGTGATGGTAGTGGTAGTGGTAATAGTGGCGGTGGCATGATGATAGTGGTGATGGTGATGGTGATGGTGATGGTGATGGTGATGAGTTTAATAGTGTATATTGATACTTATATTTAGTATTTATAAATTCAGTTAGAATTTAAGTAAGTTTTATATGATTTAATTTTTTTTTAAATTTTAACCTATATTTTAAGAGGTTAAATTTATAAGTGATATCAATTATAATTATCAAATATACTTAATTAATTATCACTTAATCAATTTAATTTTAAAGGTTGAATTATATTATCATGCACTCTCAAACATAAATGCTGTATAAAATATCAAGATTCTATGCTAGTGGTAGGGTAGAAAGGTTTCGAAAGGAGTGTTATGAAACTAATACCACTTTACCAAAAGACTACGCTAACGACGAATTTATAGGAAATTTTTTAAGGTTATTATTATTAAGATTTTATAAAATAAAAAATATATAATATTTTTGTAATAATTAAATTTAACTCAAAAAAATTTCGCTCCACTCAAAGAAATTTTACCCGACTCAGAGAAATTTTGGCCTCAACACAGAGAAATTTTAATTTTCACAGAAAAATTTCTCTAATTTTACAGAGAAATTTTCATTGAGAGACCTTAACTAATAAAAAAAATATCTTAGACTTCTCCTACTACACAAAATTAAAAAGAGATGTTTTACTAATTTTTCCAAAATTTTTTAGTTGTATTGGCCAAAAATAAAAATAAAAATAAAAATAAAAATAAAAATAAAAATAAGATGCTTGTGCATTGATTGTCTTATCTAGTAAAAAGTAATACAATAGTTTTAGGCACTATAAATTTTTTCCTTAAATTTATTATGAAAATAAAGGAATACGCTTCTCTCCCGTTCGAGATCAAACTGTAGTGTGTTGTTGGGTCTGTGGGAGCTATCATAGGTTTTATTTTGATAATCTAAACCGTTTAATATGTAAAACTCGTTGAATACTTTATCTTTGAAAGTTGATCGGATATCGATAATTACTTGATCGGATTAGATTTCTGTTAACGGTAAATATAATTTTCAAAATAAATTATTGACAAAAATCTAATCCGATCAATTGACTATCAATATTCAATCAACGTAATTTTTTATAAGGATAAAATACTCGACGAGTTCTACACATTGAACTGTTCGGATTATCGTTGCTGGACCTGTGGTGGGCCTCACGGGTCTAGCAATACTGTAGACTGGAGACAAGCCTGGTCTGAGGATAAAATGTAGGGTATAGATTGAAAGTTAATGTGTGATAAACCATATAGAAAATAAATTTTAGGCACATATTTTAATTTTAATTAAAATTTTGAATAGTTTTTCTGAAATGTAATAATGCAAGAAGTAGAATAAATTTTATGATGGGCCATTTCCAGTAGGCCCCAGTAATCTAGTGTATTGGAAATGTTAGGAAAAAAATTATTCAATATTCTTCGAGCGTCACGTGTCTATATTTATTTATTAATTATTATACACTACGTCTATTTATATTTTTCAATCACATATAAAATCATGAGCCATACTTTCTCCACCAATCACAACATGAACATCTTAAAACACCACGAGATCATATTTTAAGAACACCCAATAACCACTTAGATTTGGGTCATCATTGATTGGTCAAATTCTCTGTCCTAATCTTTTTGTCTTTTTGTCTTTTTGTTCTAAGTAATTTATTTATCAAACTATGAGTCATTCTAACACAATCCTGTGGTGAAAAGAAGTTTAGTACAGGAAAATATCAGAATTATAAGTGTGGCATATATACTAGAATGGATAGATATTGGGCTCTAAAAGATGTAAATGGGTCATATAGTTGAGGTCCAATGAATGATCATGAACCTCTTTACTATAATTAGGATTACAAATGACCGAATCTGTTAATGAACAATTTGAGCTTGACTTGTTTAAAAGTTATTTAAGCTCGGCCTATTTATTAAATGAACGAATTGGAGCTCAAGTTTTAAGCTCGTTTATCAATCGAGCCGAGCTCGAGTAGTCTCAAACTCAACTTGGTAAGGTTCGTGAATATAAAGAAAATAAATTAATATTTATTTTAAATAATATATCTAGTAAATTTTTAATAATTTATTTTATTTTTCTATTTGTGTTTGGTGTTTGTATAAATTTACATATTTCATTAATAAAATTTATTATTAATATAAGCATTTTTGTATATTTTGTTCATACTTTTTTTATGTTAATAAATAAATAAATTTAAATTTAATTTTTTTCTAGTTCGAGTTCAAACTCGGCTCGTTTATGTAACTGAACGAGCTCAAGCCCAGCTCGAGTTTATTAAATATTTGACGAGCTGAACTCGAGCTCAATTATTTAAGCTCGACTTGAGATCGAGCTCAACTACTTAACAAACGGGCTTGAACACTAAAAAGTTCGACTCGGCTCGTTTGTAATCCTGACTGTAACTTTTGTGTGGTGGTAGCAAATAAGGCCTTAACTCAACTTGTTAAGTTATAATAATGCTGTAAATGAATCGACTTGTTTATAAATTTGACTAGATTTAATAAGGGCTTCAGTTTATTAAGTAAATAAATAAATGAATCTAAGCTAGACTAACAAAAGAGTTTAACCTACACTTTTTAGGCAGATTTAGTAAACAAACCGAACTCGAACTCGGTCAGTTCATTTATTTATTTTTTACATAATATGATAAACATGTTATTTATATATCAAATAATGTAAAAATATGTATAAATAATAGGATAATTATGTTAAATAATATTAAAACTTTCATTATCAAGTTTCAAGTGAAACTCTAGCTGGATTAATTATCAAGCCAAGCTTGAGCCTCACAAAACTCGGCTCGACTCAGTTCATTTACGGCCTTAGGTTAAGCAATCTAAGCATAACCTTTTTAGCATTGCACAATCTGTTAAATCAAATTGGATGAAAAGATTTCTATCAATTCTGAAGAATAAAAGAGATTATTGTTTTGCAATTTCTAACTTGAAACCCGCCTTTTCATAAATAAGTTTTTTCACTTTATTTAATTATTTTTTTTAATAAGTAATTTTTTCACTTCAGGCTCATAGAAGCCAAAGACCTTGCAAAATTTTCACATACAAAATGTTTTTATTGACCTGTAATAGAAGACTTCACTTTTACAATGCTACACAAAATCTATACAAGATAGTACAATGTTTTGTCATGGCGGCTAAGTTTGCCTAATCTGTTTTTCAAAACTTTTCAAAAACTAGTTTAGTGAAAATAAAAAATAAAACTCATTACGTTTTTTTTGTGTGTTTATTTTTTTGAAATTAATATGTAATATTTTTGAAAAAATTTCATAAATAGATTCTGAAAACTTAACCAAATAGGTACTTAGGACTAAAAGTCAAAATAGTGTTTGGTTGGTGCCAAATTCGAGTGAATTCTATAACAAATCCAGAACTCTTATCATCAAGTGAAATGCAATAATACAGCAAACATAGAAAAAAAATAAAAATAAAAATCAATGAACTACATGACTTTGAGGAAGAATTCAACTTATAGGAGGCATAATCAAGAGCTACACAAATCATCAAAAATTGAATAAAAAAAATGAAAGAAAAATGAATGGAACTATGTGACTTTGGAAATTGACTATTTTAGTTATTTTTTTTAACTTTTTATGAAAAACATACAAAAATGTAAAGGGAAGAGTTGCCTTTGTTGCTTCTTGACTATTGCCTATTGCCAAAACAACAATAATCATGCTTTCTTGAACATAACAAGTTTTAGATTGATGAAAGCAAATATTGCTTAAGAAAAGTGAAAAAAAGTGTTCAGGCAAATGGATGTACAACAATGAAGCAAAAATCTAACTTGTAATAGGAACCAGTAATAGTATTTCAATTAGCAAAAATCTAAACAAGCCCAGAGTTCCAAAAAATGAAGAACAAAAAGTAGAGTATTTCAATATTGCAAGAACATTTTGAGAGGCAAATTGCACAATTAGCACCAACTTCAATAATAAACTGCACAGTTTCAAAAGAGTGAACAAGGAAAAGCTTATGATAACTAATTTTTCTGTAATCGAAGCAATTGCTGGTAGGAAACATCAAGACATAAATAGTCATGAAGAAAATCTGAATAGCAATTCGATAGAACAAGAACACAATCCATAAAGCTGCACAAATTAAAATTTACGCATGCCAGTGTGCTCATCTAAAAAATATAATACTAGGGAAAATTTACAGTGCCCTCCATGAATTTTACAAGTAAGCTTGTAATAGTGATCAGAAACCACTTACAATCTTTTTTATTACTAGAAGAGGCTGATTGCAATCAAACTATATGTCACAAAGAAGGAACTTATACTGCACCAGAACATCTTTTCTTCTTCTTGTAACAGAAATCTTCAGTTACGGCTGGCGACATATTGCATGCCATGTTGATGCGTCCAAGAAGTTCGTAAGAACCAATGCAAGGGACGAAATTTTGTGCATAGTGTCAAACACTAAGCTTTGATCAACCTGATTTTCTGCACTCATACAAACTGTAAGATTTTCCTGTTTCCGTTTGATTTATACAGAGTTGTTTTTTGGATATTTGTTTCTGTTCTGTTTCAACACTGTCATAGAATCACAAAATAATGTTTGTGTTTTTCTTTCTAATACAGATTTTGGTTTTCAGTTTTCTGCTTCAAAGAGTTTTTGTGTTTTGGTTTCTGGTTTATACAAAACACAGTTGTATTTCTGATTTGTTTTAATTTTGTTTTAAACATTACAACAACACACAAACAGTAGTGTTTTTCTTCCAACAGCTTTATAGTTGTTGAATATCTAGAGGAGCTGTTTCCTGTTTATTTTGGGTTGCTATGTACTGGGGGTGTTTGTTTAGTTAGTATTATCTTGGGGATTTTGTGTTTTATAGAGGGAGTTTTAGTTGGTGTCAGGCCAACTAGCTTTTGTTTGTTCTCTTGGCCTTGGTTATTGTAATTGGCAGGTGGTATGTTCTAATGATGCTAATGAGCTTAGCTTTTTATTGATATAAGTTTGTCATCTTTTGCCGCATCAATAAAATTTCACCTTTTTCCAATTAAAAAAAAAAAAAAAACATAGAGGTTTCGTGGAAAAAAAAAATGTTTAGAACTCACTATTGTTGAAGAAGAATTGGTTCACAATAATGCTATCTGTTACAAGAATTTGGATACATTTGTTGGGTGTGGATATTAGTCTAAGTATCGGACAAATCTAATTTTTATTTCCCACCCCCAACAAGATTTTACTACCACGCAACAAAATTTCATACTTTTTTAAATACAATTTTCATTAGGCTCTATTTGTTTTGACATAAATATTTTACATATTTTCCATTGTTTCATTGAACCAAAAGTAAGTAAAACATTTTTTAGGAAAAATATTTTTGGTCATAATCTCCCAAAATGATTTGCCATTAAAGAATTTGTAAGTTGATTTTTAGGAAGTTTACTTCCAACTAGGCCCTTCAAGCACATTAATCTTTTCAAAGATAAAATGGTGACTCTTCATTGATTTCTATCCACGTGACGAGAAATTTTTGGTTTTAAAGTGTCAACCATTTTTTTTTATTTATTTCAATTTAGAAGAAAAATATTTTCGAGTATAAAATATTTTACATCAAAACGAATGGAACCTTAACTATTGTCCAGTTGTCCACGGACATGTTCATATGCCATCCTAAGTAGTATTTCACCAATTTCTAGTAGTGTATGCAACACAACTTTCAAGATCTAACTAGCCTTATGACAAATGTAGACAAAATTAATGAAAAAAATGTTTAAGACCCCCCTAAAATGTTTAGAATAGTTTATTCCCAACATGGGTTGTTATTATAAGCCGTTGATTTATTTTAGGTTGTGTTTGAATCAATGATTTGATGAGGAATTTGAAAAGGAAAATGAAAATGGGACAACAAAATTAGTTTCTATTTCATTTTACTTTTAGTCCTTCCTATTTCATTTCCTTTTATAAATTCCTCGTCAAATTCTTAATCCAAATATAGTCTTAGAAATCAATCAACTAAGATCTAACCTCCTACCACCTTTTAAGGATGATATTATGGGCATAAAAAAGAATTAATAAATAAATTAAGATCATATAAAATGAAAGCAGAAGTGCATACCTGATTGAGCGAGGAGGAGGCAGCAATCTTGTTATTGATACACGAAATATTCAAACATTTGACCTTTTTTTTCTATCAAGCAAAGAGAGAGAGAAGCGGTTGAGTGAAAATTATTAATAAATAAAGGTGAATGGAATGAAAAATGATATACAACGCATTTTTTATACTCAATGATGTATAAGTCAAATAATTGACTGATAATTAAAGAAAATATCGGAGAAAGAGTTGTCTTAATATTCTAATAAATTGTTATATTATTAAGTTTAAAAAATAAGTTTAATTTTGATGCCAAAATAGCATCACCCTTAATAAATAGAGGTCACCAATCTGGGATATAGGAATTTTTACAACTCAGTTAAATGTCACTCTATGATTGATTAAGAGATTAACTACGTATTTGAAAACTTAATTATTTTAGGTAACTTGTGTATTTTTTTAAAATTAAATGTTTGTTTAAAAATATATAATTTAATTTTAGCAATTTTTGAACGATCCATAATTGTTTTTTTTTTTTTTTGCATGATTAAATTGTTTCACAATTGTATTGCACAATTAGTATCAATTAAAATTTTACATATGTTTGGCAATATTGTTTGTCGTAGAAATATTGGATAAATTCACTAAAGATATATATATAAAAAAAAATCATTTTTTAAATTTATTTTTAGTAAACTTACGAGTTCCACTGATATCAAGATGACGCAAGAAAATTAATTTTCCAATCTCTGTTGGCAAGGTAGTAAGATTATGGCACTCAATCAGCAGCAATGTTTGTAAATTATACAGGTCACAAACAGATTCTGGCAATTGTTGGATTTTTGTGTAAGAGAGATCCAAATAGCGTAGATGCACCAAATTGCCAATTGAATGAGGCAATTCGAAAATCCGATAATGTGGCAAAGACAACACCCTTAAGCAAATTAGTCTCGACAAAATAACATCCAAAACCATTTTACTCAACCAATTCCAAGCACATCTACGTCCTAAAGGTAGGAACGTCCTTAAAAACTTAGCCTCATTGATTACCTTGAATTGCGTTGATCAAAGCTGAGTTCAGAATCCGTATGTAGTAAGGGGATGCGAGCAATCTTATGCCAGTCTTGTCCTTCCTCCCTTAGGCAACGAGGTTTCAACAATGGACACTCCAAGATTTCCAGCAGAAAGAGGGAGGTTGGAAGCCCTTCTTCCGGCAAGGATTGGAGTTGAGGGCACCCCACAAGCATCATGTTTTTGAGAGAGCCAAGATGTTGAAGGCCCCTGTTGTTCAGCGATTTGAGATTTGGTAGGTCTTTGATCTCCAGCCATATGAGAGTCGAGGGCAACAGACCCTCCTCCGGAAACGACTCTAGCACATCCTCTACATATTCACCCGAGATTAAAAAGTATGCAAGAGAAGGGAGTCTTTGCAAACCCCACTCTCTCCTCTGAGCCACAAGTTTCGCACAATTCCTGATTTCAAGACTATGTAAGCTGGAGGGCAGACCCCCTTCCGGAAATGACTCAAGTCCTGGGCAGTTCCATATACGCAATGATTGAAGAGATGTGAGGCTATGCATTCGATCGGGCAACGACTTGAGTTTCTTGCAGTTCAAGAGATAAAACGTTTTCAGATTGGGAGCGATTAATACTTGTTGCGAAAAAGATTCCATATTAGAGCACCCATCCAAGCAAAGCCATTCGAGTGATGCGGAATTTTGGAATCCAAGCCTGTTTAGAGTCAAAAGAGTCTCAAAATTTCTACAGTCTTTGATTCTTAGAGATTGAAGCTTCGGAAACAATTCTAGTGGCAGGGATGGGAGAGAATCACAGGTTTCCAAGGACAAATATTCCAGGGATGTGTAGCAGTTCTCCATCTCCTCAGATAGTGGGAAAACTAGTTTCGGACAGGCACGAACAGACAAACGTTTAAGGCAACTGTTGAGACGCATCACTCTCTCCGGCAAAAAACATATAGCCCTACAATCAATGATTGTAAGGCCTGTAAGCATGGGCGGCAACCTTGTGTCTGGAAATAACAATAGGTCTGGACATTGCACTATCATCAACTCCTTCAGATTTATTAAGGTATATAGTTCAGGTGTCAGTTCCTTCAAACTTGCAGATGAAATTTCCAAATTTACAAGAGAAGACAAACCTTGCCATCCCAATTCTACACTATCGCATCCCCACAATACTAATTGATTTGCAGCACATGTCCTAGGAAGTGAAGCCATAAGCCCTGGGCAGTCCCCAATCTCAACTCTCACCCAAGATGGAATGTGTTTTGGTAAGCCTCCAATCAGCTTCGGACAGTTGGTTACCCGAAGCTCTTTAAGCCCAGAGAACTCTCCATCACCCAATATATACCATTCCTCCCAATCCAACATTTCGAAAAAACTAAGAGTCTCTAGAGATTGAAATGGTTTGCTTAAAGAACAATCTCCGTAAAATTCATGGCCCACCTTTGTTATTCTCGGCATCCCTGAAATGGTAAGATGTTTCAGAGAGGACAGCTGACCGAGTGACGGCAAGAAAAAGCAGTCCTCACAATCCTGCAGACATAAAGACACCATGTTACAGAATGATTGATCTCCTAACCATTCCGGAAATCTTGTGCCTCGATACCTGTTTACCTTTAGGTGTTTTAAGTTTGTATGAGGTTGTAGTTTGTCAAGTAAATCTCTTTCACTTTCTGAATCATTAGGAATTCCAATATTCCAGCTCAGCACCAATGTTTCTAGTAACTTTTTCTCCTTCAGCTTTGCTTCCATTGCATCCATGGAACTTGTTATATTTTGCAAACAGGAAATGGAGAGACTTCCACTAAGATGATGAAACTCCTTCAACTCATTTATACCTGACCCACTACACTTTCCCACTACAAAAGCAGTTAATGTTTGGAGATCTTTTAATCGACTCATTTGCATTGGCATCTCCCTTAACTTATCAGTTCCACTGATATCAAGATGACGCAAGAAAATTAATTTTCCAATCTCTGTTGGCAAGGTAGTAAGATTATAGCAATCAATTAGTAGCAATGTTTGTAAATTACACAGGTCACAAACAGATTCTGGCAATTGTTGGATTTTTGTGTAAGAGAGATCCAAATAGCGTAGATGCACCAAATTGCCAATTGAATGAGGCAATTCGAAAATCCGATAATGTGGCAAAGACAACACCCTTAAGCAAATTAGTCTCGACAAAATAACATCCAAAACCATTTTACTCAACCAGTTCCAAGCATATCTACGTCCTAAAGGTAGGAACGTCCTTAAAAACTTAGCCTCATTGATTACCTTGAATCTTTGAAAGTCATCAAACATGCCTCTAGCATATGAGAAATGGCGTACTTTGTCAGCAATAATGTGTGGTTTGTCATTCTCCAACCTCAAACAAAAATCTCCAGACACAGATTGAGCTAAATCATTAACAAGATCATGCATGACAAAAAAAGATGCTTTAGCACTTTGCTGAAATAATGACACTGACAGCAATTCATTGAAGCATTCATAGCCTACTTCTTCCATTGTCGTGTTACTTCTTGGCTTCACAAAACCTTCTGCAATCCATAATAGAACTAATTCCCCTATTTTAAATTCATAATCTTTGGGAAATATGGAACAATAAGCAAAACATCTCTTTACATGTGGAGGGAGATAACGATAGCTTAATCTTAACGCTGGAAGAATGTTATCCTCTGGCAAATCCCATATGGCACTTTTCAATACATTATTCCAATCCTCAGCATCCCGTTTAGAGCGCAAAAGACCCGCCAATGTTTTCGCAGCTAAAGGCAAACCTTTACATTTTTTCACAATCTCTTTGCCAATATTTTCAAGGTTTGGATGTGAATTGAAATTTTCCTTCTCAAATGCATATTTGGCAAACAATTTCCAGCAATCTTCAAATGGTAATTCCTGCAAACGATGAATATGAACAGTTTTCATGACAGATGCAACTCTGTCTTTGCGTGTTGTAACAATAATCCTACTCCCATGTGTGCCATATCTAAAAGGCTGACTCAAGCTTTCCCAGTGACCATAGTTCTCATTCCAAACATCGTCTAGGACGATAAAATATTTCTTCCCACTCAACAACTCCTTTAGCTTGACTTGAATCACATCTAGGTTCTTGGCATCACAAGCCTGTCCAGTAACTGCCTCAAGAATTGATCTAGTAACGCTTAGAACATCAAATTCTTCAGAGACACAAACCCATGCTTTCATTTTAAAGTGATCAACCACTCTATCATCATTATATAAAAGTTGAGCAAGGGTGGTCTTGCCCACCCCACCCATCCCCACTATTGCAATCACACCTATCTCATTACAACCACCTGAGTCATCATCGGAGAGCAGCACCTTCATTACATCCTCCTTGTCAAAATCCCTTCCATAAACACCAGATTCATCGACCAAAGAAGAGGTTTGGGACTTGTGAAACCAGTTATTATGTCCACGAACTTCTCTCAAACCAAGGACATCTTTCTTTTGTGCAAAATATTCCAAGTCATGAATGATCTTCTCTAACCTGGACTCTATCCCCGCATCAAATAAACTAGCAGTAGTAGAGACAGAGGATGTCAAGGTCAGAGGGATTAAACTTAGTACCTGGCTTAGGCGGCTGTGGCTGCTAGTGCTGCTGCTGCTTTGGTAGTCGGCTTCGGACTTGGAGCGCAAAGCTTCGGTAGCAATTTCATCTACTATATCATCTGCGTGGTAGATGACATCTTTAAGCTCTTCCACCCACTCTTTCACAGCTGGGTTAGTGATTTGCTTGTTCTCTGCATCATTCAGCACAGCTTTAAGTCCCAACAATGATAGCTTGAGCTTCTTGTGGAGGAGGGGGACTCTATCGCCATGCTTTTTTCCACGGAAGAAGTTGATGACCACAGGAGAGGCCAACCGATCAAGCAACACTTGAAGAGTAGCAGAGAGAAATGCTCCCCCAACCAATGCCTCGGCCATGTTTTTCTTCTCTTTTCCTTGCAAAGTATGTAAAGAGGTTATGATCGAAGAGGAAGGAAAACAGAGGCCTCTGCAATTTCTTTCAAGATTGAGGAATGAGAGAGCAATGTGAATTCCATCACATAATTCTTCACTAAGGATCCTCTAGAGTGAAATTTCCCTAAAGTTTCCTAGAGTGCTACATTGTATGGTTGAGATTTACTGGCAAGTCACATCAGACCCCCAACCAATGCCTCGGCCATGTTTTTCTTCTCTTTTCCTTGCAAAGTATGTAAAGAGGTTATGATCGAAGAGGAAGGAAAACAGAGGCCTCTGCAATTTCTTTCAAGATTGAGGAATGAGAGAGCAATGTGAATTCCATCACATAATTCTTGACTTTAAGGTAAATTACACTCACACCACTTATCCAGAGGCTTGACAAAAAAAAATACATTAAATGTTACAATTTGAATATAATTATATATATATATATATATTTTTTGAGATTATGATTGACATAATACTTAAATATCTTTTTATTAATAATATATTAGTTATATGGATAAAAAAATAATAATATTGTCAATATATAATTTACCTTGTTTATTTTTGTGTGTTCATACCCACTCAAACAGAGGCATAGACTCACTTCGTTAGAGGACGGCGAGTTTATTGAAGATGTATCTCAGTAGAGCTGGTGGTCTGTATCAGATCTATTCATAACCCGTCTAAAATGCCCACAGCCCACATGCAACTAGTATTCAGTTTTTACACGTATGCCATCCCTTCAGCAGTAATGTCTATCATGCCACATTTTTGTTAATGGACAATCAAGTCACGTTTTAAGTTAGATGGGTTATTAATAAAAAAATAATTAATGAAGAAATTATTAATATATAAATTATTAATAAGGAGATTAGGTAAAAGTATTTTTATTTTGAAAATATAGTGTTGAAAATGATTAGTGATAGAATTGTTAATATATTTTTTTTTAAATTAAAAAAAATAATTTTTATATTAAAAATATTTTCAAAAAATATATAAAATTTTCTTTATACAGTTCAATTGCCCCCCCTCAACAAAAAAAAAAAAAAAAAAAAAAATGTTCTAGTCAACCGATGGACATCCGGAAAGAATTCAGGCGGACGTCCCCTCACTGTTTTCCTAATTCCACACTTTTCCCAACCAAGTTAATCCCCTTACGAAGGTGGATTAGTAAGCCGCTCACACTATCAAGTGGCTCTTCAAATCATCATCAAAGATGCTGGGGGTGAGACCCACAACCATCCTACTCCAGTCCAGCCGCTCACGCAGCCAAACAAACGGGGCTTGAGAGTATTTGGGGTGGCTGTTAAAACAGATTATAAATTATAATTGGGCGAATTACACTAGCCTGTGTTTGGCAAGGGCTTTTTCAGGCTTTTTTGGCTATTTTAGCCACAAAAAACAAAATAGGCTATTTTAGCCATAACAAACAAAACATCACATCCAACCTATAATCATTACATTCTTCTCTCACAAAAAAAGTCAAAAAAGCCAAAAAGCCAAAAAGCCCTTCCCAAACCAAGCTTTTTAGCCCAGGCTAAAATAGCCAAAAAAGCCAAAAAACCAAAAAGCCAACCCACTTCTCAAACGGAGGCTAATAGTTTCTATAGCTTGGGGCATGTGTCACTTTGGTCCGTGATTTTTTAATTGTGATATATTTGATCATAAATTTTAAAACTTGTTCTAAATAAGGATAATGTGAGACACCATTGCTTAATTTCAATGGCAAAATCATCAATTTGATAAAATATAAATTAATTTGACAAAAATAAACGTCAAAAAAATATTTTTGAATTTTAAAAAATTATTTCTACCTACTAAAGATAAAATTATGTAAAATTGATAAATCTTTTAGACATTTTTTTTTTACCAAATTAATTTTTATTATGTGTTTAGATGATGATCATATAATGGGTGGTTGTTTTTATTTTCATTAAATTAGTTTTTATTTTTTCAAAAGTCAAATATGGTGACAATTTTGATATCATTGTTAAACCAATTCATTAAATCAAAAAATCTAAAACTAAAAACATTTCATATATTAAATATATCGATTACACATTAAAATACTAAGAACCTCCCCGTTACATGATCATCACTCAAACACATAATAAAAATTAATTTGGTAAAAATATTAAATAAATAACTGTTTAAAAAATTTATCAATTTTACATAATTTTATTTTTGGTAGGTAGAAATAATTTTAAAAATTTTAAAAATACTTTTTTGACATTTATTTTTGCCAAATTAGTTTATATTTTATCCAATTGATGATTTTGCCCTTGAAATTAAGTAATGATATCTTTAATTGTCCTTATTTAAAATAATATTCAAAATTCATGATCAAATGTGTCACAATTGAAAAGTCAAAGAGAAAAGTGACACGAGCCCCAAACGATAGAGACTGTTAGTGTAATTCGCCCATTAAAATTTAACAGATTATAAATTATAACTTTAATAAGAAATTGTTAATTTATTTGGTATAACTGCTGGATTATAAATTTAAGTTGTTGAATAGTATTTGGTAAATAAACTATTAAATAGCTTTTTAAATTGAAATAAGTTATTAGAATAAAAAAATGTTTAAAATAAATTTAACCAAACAGTCTAAAATAATTTTTCTAAAGCTAAAATCTATAAGTTGAGCAAAATAAGTCACATCAAACACCCCCAATGAACTATGAGATAATTAAAGGACAAATTACACCGTGGTCCCTACGCTTTGTCGTTTATATTATTTTGGTTTTTTCACTTTTAATTGACTCAATTTTGACTATAAATTTTAAATTTTGTGTCAATTTAGTTCAATTAATAATGTCGTTAATGTTTTTTAGGAAAATAATTACTAAATTGGTTGAGGTTAACTCACTAAATTTAATAAATTTATAATTTTACTATAAAAAAAATGACACATTCTACTTATATGCATATTTTTCATAAACAAATGTTAGGAGCTGTAATCAATTGGATCAAATTGAAACAAATTCATAAATTCAAGATCAAAATCGAGCCAATTCAAATTATAAGAACTAAAATAATATAGGGACCTAAGTATAAAGACTATGTCACAATTTATCCATAATTAAATTAAGTTAATAAATAATTTTTATTTGTAATTCTAGTTAGCATTACATTATTGACTTTTCTAAATTTGTACACTACATCTACATCGTAAGAAAACAGGAAGCACATTAAAAAAAAAAAAAATTTTGACAGACAAATTTTTCTTACAAGTTGATATGATATTGATATGACATGCAATAACAAAATAATGACATTTGAAATGGACTCACTAAAATTTATCAATAATAGAATAAACTCAATAAATTTTTCTTACAAGTTGATATGATATGACATACAATAAGAAAATATTGATATTTGAAATGGACTCGTTAAAATTTATTAATAATAGAATAAACTCAATTGACACAGCAATTTATAAATTAAGTTGGTATGAAAATTTGATTGTACAGTATTACTCTTTTTAACGTGCAATTATGGCGAAAAATATTTTTTTTGAAAACATTTTCATGTGTTTTGTTGTTACAAAATAATAAGTGGATTGGGGATGATCAGTTTGATCCTATTAGTATTGGGTGAGTACAGAAGCTCTGATAGCTTTCAAGAGATGTTAATCGCAGACAGGATGTGTGTCGCCTTTGAATGGCTAGCTTAGTTTTTTGTTTTCTTTTCCTTGTAACCCCAAAAAACAAAAAAGTGTATACGCTATTCTTTATAAATAGCACTGATTTGGTTGCATAAATTTATATACATGCATCTCTATTTGGTAAAATGCCACAGCAAAATGAATATGCATATAGGACAAAATGAACTTACCTGGAATGCAAATCCAAACCCAGATAGGTTCGCAACCAGTAGAGACTCTTTCACTAAATCTACCGCTCTGCTAATCATGATTCAATTTTGGGAAACAAAGTTGCATTGCAAGATCCAAGTCCAGATGGAACAGTAGTATTGGTGAGTCTACAGTCAGTTGAGACTCTTTTTACCAAATCATCTGCTAATAAAGATTCATTCAAGTTGATATGATATTGATATGACATGCAATAACAAAATAATGACATTTGAAATGGACTCACTAAAATTTATCAATAATAGAATAAACTCAATAAATTTTTCTTACAAGTTGATATGATATTGATATGACATGCAATAACAAAATAATGACATTTGAAATGGACTCACTAAAATTTATCAATAATAGAATAAACTCAATAAATTTTTCTTACAAGTTGATATGATATTGATATGACATGCAATAACAAAATAATGACATTTGAAATGGACTCACTAAAATTTATCAATAATAGAATAAACTCAATAAATTTTTCTTACAAGTTGATATGATATTGATATGACATGCAATAACAAAATAATGACATTTGAAATGGACTCACTAAAATTTATCAATAATAGAATAAACTCAATAAATTTTTCTTACAAGTTGATATGATATTGATATGACATGCAATAACAAAATAATGACATTTGAAATGGACTCACTAAAATTTATCAATAATAGAATAAACTCAATAAATTTTTCTTACAAGTTGATATGATATTGATATGACATGCAATAACAAAATAATGACATTTGAAATGGACTCACTAAAATTTATCAATAATAGAATAAACTCAATAATTTTTTCTTACAAGTTGATATTATATGACATACAATAACGCTGTGTTTGGTTGGGGGATTTGGGAAGGGAAATGGAAAGGGAAATGGAAATGAAAGGAAAAGGAGAAAGAATTAATAGAATTCCAAATCCCAACTATGTTTGGTTGTGTTGGTTATAAAATAGAATTGATGTCCTAAAAGGTCTCCTATTTCTTTATTTATTTCTCACCCCCTTTCTTTTCCCATATATTTTTTATTATAACCAAACATAAATAGGATTACATTTCTCATTCCTTTTCCAAATCCCACCCCAAAAACCCCAACCAAACACAGCATAAGAAAATATTGACATTTGAAATGGACTCGTTAAAATTTATTAATAATAGAATAAACTCAATTGACACAGCAATTTATAAATTAAGTTGGTATGAAAATTTAATTGTACAGTATTACGCTTTTTAACATGCAATTATGGCGAAAAATATTTTTTTTGAAAACATTTTCATGTGTTTTGTTGTTACAAAATAATAAGTGGATTGGGGATGATCAGTTTGATCCTATTAGTATTGGGTGAGTACAGAAGCTCTGATAGCTTTCAAGAGATGTTAATCGCAGACAGGATGTGTGTCGCCTTTGAATGGCTAGCTTAGTTTTTTGTTTTCTTTTCCTTGTAACCCCAAAAAACAAAAAAGTGTATACGCTATTCTTTATAAATAGCACTGATTTGGTTGCATAAATTTATATACATGCATCTCTATTTGGCAAAATGCCACAGCAAAATGAATATATATATAGGACAAAATAAACTTACCTGGAATGCAAATCCAAACCCAGATGCTAGGTTCGCAACCAGTAGAGACTCTTTCACTAAATCTACTGCTCTGCCAATCATGATTCAATTTTGGGAAACAAAGTTGCGTTGCCAGATCCAAGTCCAGATGGAACAGTAGTATTGGTAAGTCTACAGTCAGTTGAGACTCTTTTTACCAAATCATCTGCTAATAAAGAGTCATTCTCCACATCATTTGCTACCTTGATTGATTCTCCACTGCTGCTTCAAAAATCAATTTCAATAGTCACTTTTTAAAAAAAATAAAAGATATAGAGAAGCAGAACATTGAACCAGAATTCAAGTTTTCACCTCAGGCTATATAGGAATACTACGGGGGGCAGTGCATGAAAACGTGTACATTTCCATCTTAATTTGTTAGATGAACAAAATACATGACTTCAATTTAACCATATAAAAGGTTCTGAATGTCACGAGCCATATGAGATTCTTTTCCACAACAGATGCTCGATAAAAAAAAAAAACCCCGCATTTTGTACACACTGGACACCGAGCTGAAAGAGATATACATTTTCTGAGTTTAAACATTCACATGCTTCACCTCTAGAAACACTACTTTTTGCGTCTGCCTCACCAAATTCACTGCCTAGCATTCTGAAAGACCTCATAGTCCCAACCCATCTGAAATCAATGGGATCTTTAATTAGTTTTAAGTAACAGCCCTGTTGAATCAGAAAGGTCCAGACCTTTGGCATTATACTAGTGATACAATCAAGGAACTCCCTTGATATGTCCTCAAATACTACATTTCAAGCTTGATTAAAAGCAAAGTTTGTTTCAAACTTATTTACCAATGCATAGTTACAGCATTTATAACCAGGGAAATGTGAAAGCTCTGCAACAGTTAATCCCTGTTTCGCTAACAATTTCCACACACAGCTTCTAGCAACATTAAGTAAGGACTTCCCTGTGCTTGCGCAGAAATTTGCAACAGATGCAATTAGAGAAGATTCAGATAGAAATAGATGATTGGTTGCACCTGCAAGCATCAAGGAGTATGCAGCACTGGTTCTACTCATATCAAAAGCTTCCAGCTGGCGTTCATCCATTTCAGGATTCAGAGCCAACAAGTAACTTGCACTGGTTTTATAGGCAGATGCCAGTGTGGTGTAGGCACTCAAAGACAGATGATGGAGGGGATGCAACCAAAATTGTTGCTTTGATTTTTCTTCTTTTGGTTCAAACTGCCCATCAAGGAGACCATGAATAAGCAAGTTCTCAAGCTTCTCACAGCAAGAATTGGGATTAACAAATGTCAAATATTCAGTTATGGCATCATCTACATAGTCCGTCTCAGAACTCAAGTTGGCACAACTGCAACTGACTGCAGAAATTTCCTATCCAACAAAACCATCAATGTGTTAATGCTAATTCACAAAGTTCAGTTAAAGGTTTTGGGAATAGTAACATTCTCGCTTGAAAGAAAAATGTGAAGCTCAACATATTGACTCAAAAGAATATGGTTACTACCATGCTAGGCACTAGAAAATTCAACAAAAATGTTTTTATCCCAATAGAAAAAGTTACTCAAACAGAAACTAAAAGTAGAGATGAACAAAAATAAAAGTACTGAGTCACTTGTGATTTAAATAAAGACTTTTCCTAGATTGATATAGAAAAGAATTTCCAATACCATCCGAGTATTGAGAGGAAAATTCAATTGTATTAAGGATATGACTAGCAGGAACAAAATAGTGACTGGAGGCAAAAGATATTTTAAAAAAAAAATTAAATGAAAAACTAGCAAAGGAATTGAAATGTTAAAAAATTTCAACAGTTTAGATAATTTTCAGATTGAAATACGTCATGGAGCAAACAGAAAATGAAAGGTTTGCTACCAGAATACGTTTGTCAGCTTGAAATGATGAGGCACAAAGTCTGAAAAGAAGGACAACAGATTGAATGAGGAAAATAAAATAAATAATAATAATAATAAATTATGAGATGGGTCTCACACCCACAAAAGATGGATCTTCATCAACAATTTTAGTTTCACAGAATTCTCACCTGCAAAGTATGATCCACATAAGTTGGGGGCCATGCATTACATCACCGACAGGAACAAAAAAAAGCAATACTTCAACCATAACTCTGATTGCTTCATCGCTTGGTGAAAAAAGAAAAACAAAATTGGCATATGAAAACATTCTGGATGATTGAACCTAGATAGCTATGAAACTGAAAATGCATTAGGAAATCATTAAGTCTAATAAGAAGGATCTAAATAGTTCTAAAAGCTGATTTTGTTCCTGGCCACTCATACTAGTATTAGAAGATTCACTGTCCATATTCATCAAGGCAATGTGTCATTCTTCATGACATGGAAGGACAGGCATGCACTTGCGTAAGGTAGTGTCTACATAGCCAGTGGGGAATGTAGCCAAGTCATGCAAAAGACTATCAGATGGATCATTATGAGGCATCATGATAAACATAATCATTCTTAACTAGCTGCATTGGTGTGTGTGACTGACTTCCCATGCATATTGCAATTCCATTATGCCATTATCCTATTACTATCAAATGTCCTAATGCAAATTAGAATTAGTTATCCAACAACACAAATTTAAGTGGACCATGTCAAAAGAAAATATTTTTTGAATTTTAGAAAGAAAAAAAGAACTAGTTTGACAAAAATAAATATCAAAAATACATTTTTGAATTTTTAAAAATTATTTAATATTTTCTTCACAAAACTAAATTTTTTTTTTTTTTTTTTCAATTTGAAAATTTTGTTTTTGGAAAACCTAACTAAACATATTTTAAATACTTGGAGGGCAAAATTGTCTCTTTACCAGCTAATCCGGAGGAGGGCTTATCTACGGACTGTGTATCCCACCCTCCCCCAGGACAAGATAGTCCCATATATGGGGGACTAACAGTCCAGTCACACTATTAGTCTGGCCTATAATTTTTCAACCAAACAACGGACTAATTGGTATGATGGACATGGTGTCCAATCCCCCCTTCCAATCAAACACCCCCTCAGTGTGTGTATCTAAAATCAAATAGCTTATGTGTTTATCCGTAATGGATTATTATGTATATACATGTGTGTGTTGCCATAATATGCGAGTTGGATTATGTAACCTCTATGACTGAAGTACCAAAATTCTTCATTCTTTAAAATTCTATCTTAAATTACATAACCAAACTAAGAAAACTAACCTCTATTTATTTATTATTTATGTTAAAATTGATGTATAAAAAGAAATAGAGAATTGTATTATTGATTGATCTATGTTGTGTTTACAATGATTGATATATATAGAAGAGTAGAGTGTGTAGTAGGTGGAGTAGGTGTAGGTGGAGGAAAAAATGATGTATTAATGATTGATGTATGTTGTGTTTACAATGATTGATATATATAGAAGAGTAGAGTGTGTAGTAGGTGGAGTAGGTGGAGGTGTAGGTGGAGAGTAGGTGAAGTAGGTGAGTGTGTAGTAGGTGGTAGTGGTAGGTGTGTAGTAGGTGAATTTTAACAATTTAGAATCTCCAAATTTTATACAAATACTTTTATTGAAGAAAAGAACTATTAGGTTAGGTAGTTAGCCCCAAGTTAGGTACTGAACAATTGATCAGATGGTTAGTTGAGTTGTTAGGAGTCGGTTTTCAAGTCTATATTTATAAATCAATGTCTCTGTAACAGATACAAAAGAAATCAACAATAAATCCCTTGTTTTCATCTTATTCTTCAAGACTGATTTGTCAAGTTCTGTCGAGAACTACGAATTAAGCCCGGCATATTTCAAGTTCCTGAATAACTCAAGACCATTAAAATATGATAAATCTTCTTTACCAAAAAAGAAGTCTAAAATTTTTTCCAAATCCCAAGTTACAAATTACACTGAAGTGAATAATACCTGAATCCAAAATTTGTGACTATCGAATTATTTGGGATAAACTATATAAGTACAATTTTTATCTTTTTATATTTTTTGAGTCACATCACCTCTCTAATTTTTTACATCTTTTTGTAAAAATTAAAAAATATACTTATTTAGATAATTCCAAACAGCCCCTTCCACTTAAAGAAAATAATAACAATAGTTATACATTTGTATGGAATTTAATAGGGAGAAGACCAAAAGACCTTAGGTTGCAACAAGTCAGTGTAAGCAACAGCAGATACCTCCTCACCCTTGTTACTGGGAGGGCTTGATACTTGCAACAATTATTCTGGGACCACTGCATCATAATAATTAACACAAAAACTGAACTACACTGAATTTGAAAGACAAGTTCATTCATTCCTCTTTTTTGGACAAAATATTAACAATGAATTTACCTTGTGTTGAATCACATTTTTGACAATCACCATTTTCCATCATTTCAATTCCATTACTGCTGCTACAGAGCATTCCAAAGCCAAGCCGTCTCGCATCCTTCTCGCCATCCCTAATCCTCGCCAAAACGACGCCAGAGACAGACAAGAGAGAGAGAGAGAGAGAGAGAGTAATTATAATTAGAATAATACTGTGGGAGAAAATTGATAATCCATTAGATTAATTTTTTGTATCTAAAATTTTTGTACATCCAATGTATTTTCAGTAATCATTCACTCTCACAAAACATTATTCTTATAATTCTTATTTATTTGTAATTGGATCAAATAAAAAATAAAAAAAAACAATATAAACACATTATTAATCCAAATCTTCCAAAAAAAAAAAAAAGTCTCAAACATTTTTCATACACTTTCATGGTTGTGTTTTGAAATTCTTCCCTATTCGGACTGCATCGTACAATCCTGAATGTATATAGGATAATAGGATTACAAAAATTTTATTGACGATAAATCTTTCTGTACTGATATATCAATCTTAAGGGAAATATTATTGTATTGTATAATTTTATATTTTTTTGAGTGGTAATTAAAAAATAAAAAATATCATAATTAAATATAATATAAGATATAATTAAAGAATTCATAAATTATAATTTAAATAATAAAATTGATCATAACTAAATAATAAAATAACATAATTAAAAATGTATTTAATGCATCCTTTCAAAAAAGTGTGTTAACATTTTCCAAATCTTAATCATAAATCATTTTAAGATTAGTTATACCAAAACCTTTCTCAACTATCACGAATTCCATTTCTCTATTCATTTCTCAACTCGTACATTTTGATTATCTTAATTATGCATCACTTTCATATATTTAGCATTGGTTTTGCACGAGAGGTTTAGATGGGTTAGAAAATAACCATAAAAAGATAAAATAAATTTTTTAATCTCAAACTAAAAAAATGTTACATCCAAATTATAATCATTTTATTTTTTCTCATAAAAGATTAAATCCAAAAAACAATCCACAAAAAGTCAAAAGAATCATCCCAAATAAAACTTTTTACCTCCAGATTAAATCCAAAAAACAATCCACATCTCAAACGAAGTCTCAAATCCCTCCAAACTACTTTAAAATATGATGTGTTTATACAATATACACACATTTGAGTGAAATAAAATAATATTTATTAATAATTTTTTGACTTTCATATATTTAGCATTGGTTTTTCTCTAATTTTTTTTACAATTTCACACATCTGAGTCAATTATGTATAGCCTTTAGAAATTTTAAGTGGAAGGATTTCCCTCCCCATTGATTTATTCTAACAAAATAGAAGTCTAACCTAAACGCCCAAAAAAAAAGATAAAATTATATTATATATGTTAATAAAATGCATTATTTTACCTTTCTCACATGTCTTATTCTTTCAATCTTCATTTCAAGTAATCAAAAAAAAAAAAATTTAAAATAAAAAAAAAAAAACGCGAACTTTCGAAAATGAAATTGTTGATAAAATTGTGAGCACGTACTCCCGAGTTAGGTCACATGACACGGCCTTGAACTAAGATACCGAGTGACAGAACTTGATGAGTCGAGATATTGGAGTGCCCATATCCCAACCTGGTTGTTGTGTTCAAAGATTTGGCCTTATTGAAGATCTAAGTTCGAAGTTAGGCCAGTAGGACTCTTAGAGGAGATTAACCTTAACCTAACTAGAAAACCAATCTAGTAAAGGATGCGATCCGTAGATGGAAAGTATCATGTAAGGAAAGAGAATCAAAGGCGAATGTAACTCCTGCATGAAAGATTTCCTATGAGGAGAAACCTTCCTTGGAGCGGCAAAACACTCTATATTAAAGTTAAGGAAAATGACATGCGAGTAGTTGTGCAATTTTTCTTATTGTACTTTGTGTTTCTTGTGAGTGGTTGTTAATGTTATTATGTAAGTGTCTTCTTAGGTCTTGTTTGACAAGTGATTTTTTTAATTAAAAAGTTATTAAAAAAATTAAAAGTCAATAATTCATATCAAAAAGTTAATGATTTTATTTTCTCTTTACTTTTTGCATATCTTTTTGTAAAAAGTTAAAAAGTTATCACAAACATACTAATTTTTTTTACATCATATTTTAACTAAAAAATTAAAAAATTACTAAAATAGTATGTTCCTAAACGTGGCCGAGTTGATGACCAATCGCACAAATACAAATCTAAGGCTTGTTTTGAAAAGTTGGTTTTGGGTCACTTTTTTTGGTTTGAAACAAAAGTTAAAAGTTGATTTTTTTGAATTTTTTTTTTATTTGGAAAGTTGGTTTTTAGCCAATGGTGAAATTA